TAACAAGCTTAGGGTACTCTGTTGCCAGGGCTCTTGAGAAGCAGTTATAGTTACAAATTTCACATTACACATGAAAAACATATTTCCATATGAACTATTATAACATCACAGGAAGTCCAGGGAAGTACAACCAGCTTGATCTTGAGCTCCTTAAAAGCAGAGAATATAGTCTTCTAGTTGGTATCCCAGTACAGAGGGTTGCAAAGAAACTGCTGCTTGATAAATGTTTACAATGTCTAGTTTCAAGTAACCTAGTCACTATTTCGTTAAGGCAGTCATTTCTTCAATCCCGGGTGAGGCAGAGGGCCTAGCTCAGACCTCACGATCTTTTTTTCGCCTTGTTTTGATTATAGCCCCATTCATTTTCTGGATGTCATCGTTTAGAATCTCACCCGTGGCCTGCTGACATTCCATGAGGATTCAAACAGTGTCAATAGGAGCAACAAAGGTACAATTTGGAGCTGGACTTCAATTAGAGAACTTCTTGGCTATTACATGTCCACATTGATAGGCTATGCCTTTGCTTGCTTATTTTGGTAAAGAGCTATCAGAAAAAGGAAAAGGGCCTAAGAGTAAAAATAAAAACCCAAACCACTGTTTCAAGTAGCATTTTGTGTTTGGTGTGTGTCTGTGTGTGTGTGTGTGTGTGTGTGTTTGGATGAGTGGGTATCGGTTTTTAAAAACAGAAGTTAAAAGTTGTTTAAAACCAAAACAGGACAGGTGTGATGGCACATGCCTGTAATCTCAACACTCAGGAGGCTGAGGTAGGAGGATCCCCGCAAGTTCCAGCCTGAACTACATAGCGATACCCTGTCTCAATTTTTTTAATTAAATAAATAAATAAAAATAGTTTATGACCGAAGATTCCTGTACTCCGTCAGTAGCTGCTTCTAACTCCAAAGCTGAGTTGTCACACTAGTGATGAGAAGTGACAAAGAACAGGAGCTTGCCAGGAAAACGTTAAATAAAACTCAGTAACTGTAGTCTGGAGCCAGGAGAGGTCGCACATTTCTCAAGGAACCGCCCAACTGTAGGGTAAAATGAGTCACAGACCTAGACCCAGCTGATCTCACAGGCTGCTAAATTTAACGGGTGAACTGGCAAATGAAATCGGCCATCTGTACCTCTCAATGCTGGGCCTGAGTGTTTGAAGAACCTCAACCCTTTGAGGCTTCCCGGAACTGACTCTCAGGCACTTTTACAATTTAACCGGCTCTGAGTGCGGAAAGGGGCCCGAAAAATTAAGTAAGTCCAAAAAATGTGAGCAGGGGGTTCCAGAGATTTTGTCCTGGTTCCGATCTGTCAGGGTCATCTCAATGCCTGTCTGTGATTGGCTATTCCTGCAAAAATGTCGCCAGGCCGACTGGGCTGCTGCAAAACTCTACCTGCCTTTCATTGGCTCTGGCTCTGTGGGAGGGGCCTGAGAGGGTGGGATCCAGGCTGAGAACCCTGGAACTGCGGTCTACCGACCCCGCCTTTGGTAGCAGTTTATCCTTTGTGGGCAGAGACGACTCTCCTCTGCCATGCCAAGCTGGGCCATGGGCTGCAGGCGTCTCCACAAGTGCTAGTCCAGCGCCAAGTGCTAGTCCAGGAAGTGGGAGAGGTAGGTATACCCAAGCCTATTTGGAAGCTAAGATTTAAGCTCATTTTACCAGGCCCCACCACCGCTGCCCTCGGGACAGCCCAGCGCCCGCCCTGTGGCCCGGAGGTTCCCTGAGCTGCTTCTCAACGCTGGAGGATACCACGTCCTCTGCCCTGCTGTGCTTTTACTTCCAGAATCTTTCCAGGCTCCTCCTTCCTCCCCAAAAGTCTTCCCCAAAACTACACCCACTCTGCCAAAGGCACAAGAGAATCATCTATCAGATTAAGTTGTACCAAAGTAATTTATGTGTAATCAGAAATAAAACATTAAAGCAAGTCTTCTATTGAGGAGCAATAGCTATACATTCTCAGTCATTTTCTTTGCAGAGGCCAACTCCTCCACCCTCAGGTCCTGAGGATTGAATCCAGCGCCTTGCACTGAGCTATATCCCCAGCCCTTTTTATTTTGAGAGTTCCCTGGGCTGGCATTGAGCTCCCTACCTTCCTCCTGCCTCAGCTTCCTGAGAAGTTAAAATTACAGTCGTGAGCCACCTGGACAAGCCAGAGATGATTGCTTTTTAACTCTTCCATGGTTGGCTCTGTTTATGGCCCTAAATCAAAATAATATACTTCCACAGCATTTCTTTATCTTTTTTTATATTTTTTGCCTCACTTTCCTACTACCTCTAGCTTCTCCATTTTCAGTTGCTCTTTTGGTTCTTCTATTGATCTTTGGAACTTTAAATAATAGATGTCAACCTCTTCTTGTTCTATCTGGATTAGGCAATGCTCCTGGTGCCCCCACACACTGCCTTAAAGGAGGAAGGACATTAAAGCTTCCTCCACCTTCACCCTATCAGCGGTCCCTCGACATTTGCATTTAGTTCTCATGTGTTCAACAAACATGGCATTGGAAAATAGCTGTGAACAAAATAGACAATGCCCCTATCAACATGAATCTCTTAGTGTGGGAAATAAACAAATACATGTCAAATGATATTGAGATAAGACCGTAGAGTCATCACTTCTCCCTGAGAGAACAATGAACCCAAGTAGGGTAGACAGAATGAGCCTGGGATCTGCAGGGCAGTGGAGGGGTTTATCTTTTTGCTTGGCTGGTATACATTTTGTTTCAGAATGAAGAAGGAGCCCTATCTATTAAACCTCTAGCATGCCACTTTTATGGAGCTTGGACTGGGTGCTGGTTGTTGGTCAGCAGTTTAGTGAAGCTGGATTTTAGGGTACTGGATCCCTCACTTTGGCAGTGTGGTGGATTAACTAATGGTCAACTTGGAATGCCCAACAGAACTGAATCAGCATGGTTTGGGTGTGGAAGACCCACTTAAGGATTGTTGCCAATGGCATAGAAAGAGACCTGGAGGGGAAGATCGTTGACAGTTGATCTTCTTGGAGAAGTTTTCTGGGGGTGGGGGGATCTTGTGATGTGAACTTAACTGTTCCTCTATCCTCAGAGGAGCTCTGGGAATGGCTGCTGTTCTCATCAGGGGAACTCTGATCTTTGCCATGAGTGTCACTTCCGGGCTCCAGTGCAGATCCCTCAGCCTGGTGGCACAAATCCTTCACCCCACCAACGCAGGCTTTCTGGCTTCCACCACTGGCCTTTGGGCTTTCCCAGTACAGATCCCTCTAGCTTTGGTATTCAAGTTTGATTATTTCTACAAAAAATTAATTTACCTTTCAATGAGTTTTTGTGTTCCTTCTGTATCTGCAAGCCAACTGGGAGTTTGTTTCTAAAACAGTACAAGATTTTTTGTTGTTGTTGTTTCACTTACAAAGTAAATGCATCTCTGTATCTAAAGGTTACACATTTTTTCTACATTTCATTTAAGGCAGATAAAACTCCAGGGCTGCAGGATGTAATAGGCTATTCTTATATCTCAGATGTCACTGGACACCATAAATTATCTCTGTTCTTGACCCTACATCCACATCAACGCACGAACTTTGTTATCATTCCCTCATCTAGCTAATTGGCAAATGTACCTTTTGTCTTCAACTTAAAATAATGTTTGATGGTGTTTGGTTTCCAGATGTTTCATTTATGTATTTAAAACATTTCTTTTACATTGCAAATTCTTACATTGTAATTATGGATTGACCTGACCTTCTCTCTACTTTCTGCTTACAGACTTCTGACAATAACCATAACACAGATTATGCTACTGTTATAAAGTGCATTGCCCTGGGCTCCAGGCCACTCCTTGGACTTGTGAAAGACATTGCCTTGGATTCTAGGTCTTCATCTGGACTTGTATAGGACATTGCTATGGGATCCAGGCCCTTGGTTGGATTCTTTGGGACTCTAGCTAGATCTCTTGCACTCCTCTGCATTTGCCTTTTTGGGCAAATAGTATAAGATAATCCTATATATTAGGTGTTTTGTATTATAACTATTTCATTGCGAACCCTAACTACAGTGGAATGATAGTAACAGCGGAAGTAAGAAAAGCAGGAGACAGGGAGACCAGTGAGAATGCCTGAACTGTCAGTGATCTATAACAGAGTCCCACTTCCTCCAGAAAGCTTGACTGCATGGCCATAAACCACAGTGATTTCTCTCTCTCCTCTTGAATTTGTATTTTACCTTGAAACTGGAGAAGTTAGGTAATTTTCTTAAGATAAAATTGGGCTGTACTAACTAGGATTACATAGCAAATTGGCTTAATCCGTGTAAAGTGCACAAAAAAGTACCTGGCACATAGTGAAAGTACTCAAGGATTGCTTGCTATAATTGTTACTTTATTATAAAAGCGTTTTGTGTTTGCAAACTATTTTTCATGTCTAGCTGGCTTATTCATTTGACAAATATTTATTCAGCAGTATCTGCATGGCAGACATTGTTTAGGTGTTTGACGATACGAGTGACTAAAACTAACATGACCCGTCCCTTTGTAGATTGTCTACTAACATAAACTTTCAAAGTGAAGGAATAAATATTGCCAAGTGAATCAAGAGCCTTCCAGAGCCTTCCATACCTATATGTGACCCTGACGAAAGCTCCAGGGTTTCTTGGGGTGTTGCTGTCGTTGTTGTTGTTGTTTTGTGGGTGTTGTTGATGAAGTTGCCGCAGCTGCTTGCTGTTGTTTTTCTGAAATGATGACTTCATCCACATGGGCATGATTATCCTCAGGTGGTCTTTGTTTTTTATCTTCTGAGGGATGTTACTTCATCTGTGCTTCTAACATATCACTAAAGGCTGAGGAGAGACTTGGCATGTGTATGTTAGTGCCAGAAAAGCAGTCAAGGGTTACAGGGCACAAGGAAAACATCCTGTTTCTCTTACATTTTTACACTTTGGTGTGCAGCATAAGAAAACAAACTGCATACAGGCAGTGGGCCACTGGCATATGCCTTTCACACCTTGAGGAATATACATGTACACATAAGCCTATCAGAGAATGAGTCTGGAGGTACTTAAGGCCTTGCTCTGGCTGCATAATCATCACATTTTATATGACCTTGCCCTAGTTCCAGGGAAGCTATGTTGACTTATAGAGTATGACTGGAGTGGGAATAGTCTGGTAGAATCAGAGTTTCCCAAGTAAATGAAAACCAAGAATCCCCAAAGCCACTCACTTGGGCATCCCCCTGTTCATCCCTTCCATAGTGTGGGTAAAATAGCTCAAAGGTTGGGCTGATTCAACCCCAAAGCTTATTCAACAAGATCAGTAAAGGATCCAAAGGATAGGGCTCATGTTTTTTTTCCCCCTCTGGCCAATGTTCTTTCTCCTCTCCCAAGTCCTTTTTTCTTTTTCTTTTATTTTTCTTTTCCCTCCTCTGGGACAAGCCATCGTTGATGCACCTTCTGCTTTTTTGCCTCTAGGCTGCTGTGTGCTCTCAGATGTCCATGCTGACACATCTTTGTCAGATCCATTATTCCAATGTTTGGTGATCAGTGGTCCTGTTCGGGTCTTAAATTCTCCTTCTGGGAATTGAGATTAGGCAGTAAGAATGTAAGAAATATCCCCTAACTTAGTTTTTTTCATTTATAGTAAAAATCTCCAAAATATTGAAAGTATACACTTACTCATTTTGAGTAGAGGGGTGGTATGATATTGTAACCTAAAGATTAAGAGCCTGATTAAATCTCACCCAAACCATTTACTAGTTAGATGACTTTAGATAGGTCACTATCTAAGCCTCAGTTGTTTTCATCCATGAAATGGGGATAACATCAATAGGTAGGAACCATATTAATGCATGTTTAGTGTTGAAACCTTATTTTGCACTTGGTTATGCTTTAAGAAAGTGATTACCATGATTAGAATTAAAATAATACTAAAATGTGTTATGCTCTCCAATAGAAATCCCTTGAGTTACTATTCTAGGAATTACTTCTTACCTTTAATATGCATAAGAACCACCAGCGATCTTACTAAAATTCCAATTCCTACTTGGTAGGTCTGGGATGAGACCCATGATGCTGTGTTTCTAACAAGTACCCAGGTGATGCTGCTGAACCTGGACCACACTTTGAGTAGCCAGGCTCTGGGAGACCGTAGGATAACTACGTAGATTAGAACAAAAACAGACATGAACAGGAAGGTTCAAGGCACTTCCTCCTAGAAAGTTTGGAAATGGTTATTTTCTTCAACTTTACACTTAGGGGCTGTGGGATCTGCTCCCTGTGTAGCATTCCTCTTTTCTCAGCATTCACTCTCCCCTGTTGCCAAAAGGACCCTGGTTTTCTCATCACTCGCCAGTGTGAGAAAGCCTCCTTATCCACCTGGGATGCGTGAGGTGTCCTCATCAGGTTCTTATTTGTCTCTTGCAGTGGAAGCTCCATGAGGCTCTGGAACGTCTGAGGAAAGTACAGGAAGGAGAGGCCTGGAAGAAGCTGGAAGTTAGTGAAAGGAATTGAACTTCTAACTGGAAGGCAGGTTGCCACCTGAGGAAGGAGTTTATGTTCACCCCTGTGTTGTCCCTATAACTTTCTCATCTCTGTGAGGTAGAATATGAGGCTTGAAGTCAGAGAGCCCAGAGCCCTAATCACTTGTACTGGTATGTGGCCCACAGCAGGCCATGAAACATTCAATTCTGGTTTCTTGATTATGATGTAGGGATGCCTCAGATCTAGTGCCCTCACATACAAGAAAGGAAGGTAAGTGTCTTACATATGCATTAACTCATGGTTCCAAGACTTGTGCAATGCTAGTAAAGCTTAGTTTTTGCTTCACTTTCCTATTCAAGAGGGGATTTCCTAAGAGTTCAGTTATTAAAATATTAGAAAATCATCTCTGAAATACATTTGAAGCTAATAATTATGAAAGTTAAATAGCTTTTGATCAACAAGAAGTAACATTCAAGTGATCTAAAGCAGTGAATTCAACAGATGTACCATCAAGAAGAAAAACCATCTTGCCTGGTAGTTAAGTTATACTGCTTTTGTAAATATAAGTATAAACCAGTAGTCTAGAGATTATACTACCATGATAACCTGGATCCTACTGCTCAGTAAAAGTAGTGCAGGTTGAGCATCCCTAATTGAAAATGTGAAATGCTATAAAATCCAGGATTTTTGAGCACCAACATGATGCCGCAAGTAGAAAATCCCACACCAGACCTTAGGTGGTGAATCCCACTTAAAATACAAGTACACTAAATATGTCGCATAAAATTACCTTCAAGCTACCTGTATAAGGTGCATATAAAACATAAATAATTTCATGTGTTAAATTTGGGTCCCATTCCCAAGATTACTCTTTACATATATCCAAATATTCTGGAATACAGAACAATACCAAATCTGAAATATTTCTGGTTCTAAGCATTTCTTTTACATTAAAAATATCTGTGCTGCAGGCTCCAAGACTTGCTCCTGTGCAGCTGCCAGAACCAGTCTCCTTGGAGCTGAAGACAGATTGCCATGTGCCAGGGCTAAGAGAGATTCTAAAGACATATGCAGGTAATGCATGCTGGGGGAGGCTAATGGGCAGAGGGAGGGACCCCTCCCGCAGAAATAAAGTGGCTCAGGGCCCTCTGGATGCCCAAGCGACCCCAACCCATTTCTGAGAAACCTGTAGCTGTACGTATCAGAGAGACCACCCTCAGATCCTTGCTGTGTATCAGTGTCCTCATGTCCGAGGACAGAGAGAGCATACACTGTGGAGACACTCAGCAGAATCTGCTTGACAATCCTGAGAGATTTTACCACGATAACATTGTCCTGGGCAGCCAGTACATCTCTTCAGGCCAGCACTACTGGGAGGCAGAGGTGGGAGAGAGATCTGAATGGGGCCTGGGAGTATGCAATGAAAATATAGACCAGAAGGAAGTGCTCTGCTTATCCCCAGTACATGGATTCTGGGTGATATGGCTGAGAAATGGAAGTGAGTACCAGGCAGGCGCTGATGAATATACCCCTTCCTGTCCTTGCCAGTCCCTCCTCTCCGGGTGGGAGTCTTCCTAGATTACGAGGCCTATAATATCTCCTTCTATAATGTGACTGACAGTGGCTCCCACATTTTCACTTTCCCCACCATCCCTTCACTGGGCGCCTCTTGCCCTATTTGAGTCTTTGCTACGTGATTGGTGTCAACAACACTACTCCTCTGATCATCTGTTACCTGGATGGTGAGGACTAGGACAGCCATCTTCCCAACCAGAGCCTGTGGAATTTGGCCCAGCCCACATAGGTATTAGAGGATCCTGACACTTACAATCAGTCCTAGAATCCAGAGACTCCTCTCCCTGACCTTGTGATCTCTTACTATTAGGTGATACTCTGTCACTAAACCAATCAGGAAAAAAAAAAAGTCCCACTCAAATGAGCTTTGGGGAGGGAAAAGTGTTAGGTCCAATGTTGAGGCTAAGAGCAGTGCTGAGATAGCTTGTTGGTATGAGGGTCCTGGCTTTGTCACACTTCTCACACCTCTCTTCACTTATTCCTATGCAGTGCCATAATTAAATCAATGAGGACAATAAAATAGACAATCTTCAGGAAACCTTTTAATTAAGGCTTACTGGTGAGCCAAAAAAATAACGGCCATATCCAGAACTGGTTTCTTTCTTTCTTTTTTTTTTTTTTTTCAGCTTTAATTGAGTTTATTGGTACATTTTAGGGATACAGTACAGTCACATTCATTGTTGGGATCTTGTACCTCTACATGACAGGTCTTGGTTCTCATTTTTTCCCCTTGTCCCTGCCCTCTCTTCACCCCCTCCTTCCCTCCCCATCTACAAGCACTTTATTTCCATCTTTTCTTTATCTCACATTTTTTACTTTTCCCTTATTACCCTTCCTCTATCCATCCCACCTTCCCTACACCTTTAGCTCCTTTCTTCCCATTTCTCAATGTCAGTAATCTTATTAGGATCTTCTGTATTATTGCAGATTATTCACATCAGAGAAACTATTCGTTATTTACACATGTGTGCCTTATTTATTTCACTTAGGAGTATATCCTCAATGTGTATCCATTTTCCTATGAATGAATCTATTTTGTCATTCTTTATCAGAACTGGTTTCTATGCTGAAGTCAGTCAGAATGCTTCTTTTGTGGTTCTCTGGTAGCAAACAACCTATAGTTCACCTTACTCTGTCCTCCTGACCAGAGACACAGGACTTGTCCAGGAGACTTGCTGCATCCCCTCTTTGAGCCTAGACTGGTTAGATTACTGTCACTCAGACTAAGGAGTCCCATGTCCTATCCTTGTCTGTTTCTCTAAGTGGCTGAATCAAAAAAACCTGTTTTTATTGTCATTTTATGGATAATAAAACTGAAATGGACTAAACGAAGCAAGTTACTTCTTACAAGCTATAGAAGATTATAAAAAGTATAAAGTGATTTTTGCATTCAAATGAAGCAAGATTGACAAACTTGATTCTCAGGTCACATGTCTACCTATTCATTGAATTTTGGATGTGAAACCACTCACATATTTAAGAGGTTTCCTGTCACAAAACTGGGTGCAATTTGTTCCAAAACAACTTAGCCTCCTACGTCATAGATTGGTGGAAAGATCCCTGACCCATGCCATACTTTCGTTCACTTCTCAGGGATAGAGGAAGGCAAACCATGGGTAGCCTTCCTACCTCAGTGTATTACAGCTAGAATCTTGGCAGCAGTGCCTTTCTGTCTTAGGGCCTTTCCTGACAGTCTAGAGCCCTTCCAGCTGAAAGGTGTCATGCCAGCAGCACACTGTGAGCCACAGTAGAATATTATGCAACTGCTTATAGGTGTCTGTCTCTGGTTTACAATAGAGGCTGAAGCTTCAGAGTAGAAACTACAAATAAAAATAAAAGAAGCAAAACAAGTAACCAAGGCCCGGGGATTTAGCTCAGTGTTTTCACCGCCTGCCTCACAAGCACAAGGTCTGGAGTTTGATCCCCAGTACCAAAAAAAAAAAAAAAGGAGAAGTAACCAAAAAGGATGTTTATCCACCAACTAGTTAGGCTAAAATGTAGACTTTTCATATCACCAAGGAAATCACAGATCTCCTAACTACTTAACATCTTCCCTGCCTTTCTCTTCTCTGGTTCTATGGGGGAAAGAAATGTGGGAAGAGGAATAGTAATTTTAAAAAGCCAGTTTGGAAGTCATATATGATAATGAAAGGTATTGAAGACTACATTGGGCTATTGACCTTAGAGTGATTGCTGTGTGTGGTAGGCAAGGTTGTATACAAATAATCTACCGCAAGGCTTAAGATGGTTGGGGGAGTGATTGTGACCAGAAATAAACTTCACAACTTCACGGCAAGCATATGAGAATTATTGACTCTGTCTACTGTAATGGCCACAGTATGTACAAATATGTACAAATTTCATGTTGTCCCCATGTGCAATATAAGACAGCTTCTGGCACCGTTAATACTTGAAGATTGTAATTGTTAAGTTAGGATTGGGCAGAAAGGCAGATAGGAGGTAAGGCAACACAGGTACAAAGTAGCTTCCACATGGTTGTAGTAAGGAAAATTAGACACCATTTCTCTGTTTTAGTTGTATTTGTTGTTACATATAAAGGAGGTGAAATATTGAAATACATGCATTCTGGGCCAGGGATTTAGCTCAGTTGATTCCACTGCCTGCCAGTGGTTGACTGCAAGCACAAGGGCCCGAGTTCAATCCCCAGTACCAAATAAATAAATAAATAAATAAATAAATAAATAAATAAATAAATA